TATCAGAACCATTCCATGTCACATCTGGTGTTCCACAGGGCAGTCATATTGGACCATTCTTATTCTTGCTGTACCTGAATGACGTCAACCTAGTGCTCAAATGTTTTAAGCTCTCGTATGCCGATGACTTCAAACTCTATTAGGTAATAACCTGTGAATAAGATGCATATTTCCTTCAGAAAGAACTTAACCTTTTTTCCAAATGGTGCGCAACTAATCGTATGAGCTTGAATGCCATCAAATGCTCAGTAATTTCCCTTGGACGTAAACGTTTGATTGCACCATTGCCGGAATATCTCTAAAGAGGGAATCTACTGTTAAGGATTTGGGTGTTCTCTTAGATTCAAAACTTACTTTTAAAGATCATGTAGGATATATAACCTCCAAAGCTTCTAAATGCCTGGGCTTTATTTTTGGTGCTGCAAAAGAATTCTCGGATATTCACTGTTTGAACACCTTTTAGTTCGCTCTACATTGGAGTATGCAGTTGTGGTCTGGGCTCCTTACTATCAGAACAGCGTACAGCAAGTAGAAGCTATCCAACATAACTTTATTCGCTTTGCTCTTCGACGTTTGCCTTGGAATGATCCATATAATCTCCCTAGATATGAAGATCGTTGTAAATTAATTGACCTTGACCTTCTGGAGGTTCGTAGGAATCTCACTAAGGCTTGTTTCATATCTGATGTTGTTCAATCTCACATAGATTGTCCTACAGTGTTACGTGAGTTGAATTTTAATATTTGTCGTCGTACTCTCCGTTCTCATCAATTTATGCGTATATCGACATTCAGTACTAATTATGGCTATAATGAGCCTTTTAGTAGTATGTGTCGTGTGTTCAACCGTTGTTACCATGTCTTCGACTTTCATCTGTCACGTTCCACTAATAAAAATAGGTTCCGTGAAGCACTCAGTTAGTAAATTATAGGTAGTAGTAAGAAATAGAATAAGGTCGTATTTTGTTTAGTCTTAAGTTAATAATGTATCATTTGGAATGTACTGTTCTGTTGATGCGAAAAGATGAGGAGGTTTTATGCCCATTTGAGAAAAAAAAGCTTTTATAAGCTCCACTCGATTGGGCTTTTCCCTGCTCCCAATAAAGAATAAAGAATAAAGAATAAAGAATAAAGAATAAAGGAGTCAAAATTGTAAGGTTTGAAACTAGTATATAAGTAAAAAAAAATGAATGTTCGTTAGTCTTCAGACATCTGTCCATCTGTCAAGTTCCGAATTCATTCCAGCCAGTACCTTCATCAGGTTTAAACTTGGATAACTGTTGAAACCAGAATCTCTAATTTAATGAGAGGTTCAGTCCTCAGTCTAAAATCAAAATCCAAAAACCTGATGCTAAAGGCACTACTTTTCGGTCTATCAAATTCTGAACCACGCTATTGTAACAGTCTCTTAATTTAGTAGAGTAACTGTCTTAGCACCTTGAACAGTTTTCGATAGAATCGAGAAAAAGGCACTCGCTCCATCAGCCTCGACAGCATCAATTTTCATCTGCTTCGCTTGGTGTGTGTGTTCGTCAGCCTTCGCGAGAATTATTCAAAATTCTTAATCAACAACAATCTTAAGACGTCCCGGCTCGAATTTGCCTTCCAGCCACTCCAAAGCTCGCAAGTCTTATTCGCGTCAATTTCGGTAATCAATACATTATATCAAAACTACGATCGCATCACTTATCAAGGTGAATCCTGATCCAACGAACCCAACCGACTGGCAAAATATCCCTCCTGTGATCTTTGTGGGCACGCAGAGGTAAACACGGTCCCCAAAACAACAAAGGTCATTATCCTTCCCTACTCCCAACTGATTGCAAGGAAGTGGCCGGCGCCGTTATTTATCTTTGAAATTAACTTGTACAATGAGAAGGAAAGGTCACTCCCAACCCCATTCAGTTGATTCATTATGAAATTTCACTGGTTCTAATCAATCACGGAGTAGCAACCATTGCCCAGTGCACAGTGGTCCAGAATACAGATTTAGGTGGAAGGATATGTTTTGAGCCTAAAATTGATACTTTAGACTAAAATTCTCTTCTACAAAAATGTTCTTTATAGTTAGGCCCTTATTTTTAAGACAATGATTTCTAGGGTGGTTCTTATTATCATTGAAATAAAAAAACTAACTTTTTTGATTGAAGAAATGAAGGTATACAATCTTGTGCAAAGTTATAGCTGAGCTAATTTCAAGCAACTTTGTGTAAAAAAACTTTTTTTTTTGTATCTCTTAAATTGACCGATTTAGAGCTATTTGCTTGAATAGAGTTAGGGTGTCTCTAAAAATAAACAGTTGTTTTGCTCTAGTTTTCTTATTTCAAATTTCTCAGAAAAGATGTCTTACAATAACTTTTAAATCTTTTGAAGGCGCAAATTTTTACTGGACAGAGCTTGTCGATATCTTTCACCAATCAGACATCTTTGCTGAGAAATTTTAAATAAGAAAACTAGAGCAAAACAATAGACAGAGACACCCTAACTCCATTCAAGTAAATAGCTCTAAATTGATCAATTTAAGAGATACAAAAAAGTTATTTTCGACAAAGTTGCTTGAAATAGGCTCAACATTAATTCCTTCAAACAAAAAAGTTTAATTTTCGATTTCAATGATAATAAGAACCACCCCAGAGTTCATTGTCAAAAAAATGAGGGCCTAACTATAAAGAACAACTTTGTAGAAGAAAATTTTTGTCTAAAAAATCAATTTCTGGCTCAAAACGTATCCTTCCTCCTAAATCTGCATTCTGAACCACTGTGCACTGGGCCAGGAATGCAATCTAGCGGAGCAAAATTAGTAACTCCGAAACGAAGCATTTTCGCGGCATGGAGTCTTGGGCAAAGTTTCTCATCAAGGACCATCTATTGACATAAACAAATAGTTCAAAACTCTTCCGCAAAGACGGCGCCACAATCTAACTTTTTTCTCTGACGTTTTGGAGACTTGATGTATTCGGCAACTCTCTTGAAGACCTAAAATTTCCACAGCCTACTGGTTCCAAGTTATATAGAGTTAAAGAAAAAAATGACAAAAATATTTTTTTTTTCTTCTTCTGTTTCGCTTCTTTTGACGTAGAACTACGTCTTTGTGGACTATACTGGGATGCAAATCAAAAAATATGTATGGTGAAAAAGTGTTAGGTTTTGAACGCTTGTAACTTTGTCATTTATTGATGAAATTAAAATCCAAATACGCCAATCGATAGGATATTACTTTACAAATCTGCTGAAATAAATAACTAGCAAATTTCGCACAGATGTTAACACCCCAAGGGGGGCTGTTCATCATCTACTGGTTGGGACGCTGGAGAAATTTAAATTAATTTGTAACAACCTTTGGAGTTATGAATTTTGGTTGGACCTATCCAAAACTGAATCAGGTCGGACCTGTTTTTACCAGCGCTAATTTAGTCCAACAAAGTCTAAGAAACTTCTTCTAAAAGCTCATTACTATAAAGGAAAAGATTTGTTTAATGAATAACATAAAATTGTGTTTTATGTTTTTAAATATAACTCACTTTTAACTTATTTTCCCATCAACATGACTCACTTTAGAACGTCCACAATAGGAATGTTAACTTACATTTTCAAAGTTTTTATGCAGCATAATACTACTAAAAGATGTAAATTTCATGCTTTAGCAGACTATTGATGCATTAATTTTATTGAAAAGTTTAAATATTTGGTAAAATTCCTAATTTATATTTGTATCATGGTTGGACCTAGTTATTTCCTGCATTGGCTGTCAGGTGTGCTCCGGTTTGTTTAAAATTTCCTTCGCGCGCAGCAACATAATTTTCTGTTTACTTTCCTAGTCACAACTTTCTTAAACAGAGCATAGAATTGATTGATTCAATTCTAAAACTGGCTACTTTCCTAGGGGTTTTTCGGAAATTGACTGGATCCTGGCTATTCCTAATAACTGTCATTGAACTGGTTGTTGAATCTTAATGTGATTCAATGGTTTTAGATCATATTCAGAAACTGGCCACTTTTCCGAGGGGATCGAAACATGGCCAGGTGTGGCCAATGTGGCACAGGGTCCCCCAAATGACTACAATTGAACTAAATGTTTAATTCTTATGTGATTTGAGGTGTCACATGATAAGTTTTATTCGTTTTATATATAACGGCTTGTTTAGGACTCCACATTTGAATTTTCATAATTTATTACATTTCAGGAAAACTACTTGAACCAATATCGAACCATAACCGAAACAATGAAATTCTTGAAATTTTTTAGACAAAGTATAATAGTCAAAAATGCATGACATATATTTTTCTCTTATGCAAATGCATTTATTAAAGAGCTTTTCTCACAAAATATATAAAAACGAAAAAAACAGCAATTTTTGAATTTTAATATCTCCTAAAGCGCAAAAAATCGCAACCTGACATTTCCAACAAAAATTAAGCAATACCCGATAAACAAAATATCAAAATCTGATGGTCGAATTAAAAAAAATGGTATTATTTCATCTTGCAACGTTGAGTAAATTTCAACTTTTTCTATCGATTATTCGTTGGGTAATTTTGAGTTTTCTTCAAGTTACTCAATTTTACCTAACCCCAGACGCAAACAAATGAACGAATTGCAAATAATACAATTAGTAGGTATGTAAATAAATCATTTTATTCTAACTATAGAATAAGCAAATATCTTGCATAAGTCTATCATAACATATCACTGTTGATTTGAAACCCCTATATCATTCTAAAAAAAACTACAATTGTTAAAGCTCTCAAAAATCCCTCCAGTATTAAAACTACTAACAGTGTACTAGGGTAAATGGCTCTAATGTTGGCCTATGGATCTAAGATTGGGCCCATCGCTAAAAATCTGCTATTTATCAATTTTATCCTGATGAACGCGTCATTGGGACGGTACTAATGGATATTTTTGGTAGCTATTGAAAATTTAGTCGAATGCTGAATTTATGTATGGGCCCAAATTAGGGGCATTTAGGCCGACATTACATCCATTTTCCCTGAATTTTGTTTTCTTTGGCACTAAGTTCCAGGCTTATGGAATTGTTTGGCAGGATCGTAAACATTCGTTTCGATTCTCGCCAACTGACGGTGCTGCCCAACGATGTGATGTAACCACGAGCACTCTCGGTATACCGTTTCGAATTCATTGCACGTTTGATGGAATATCGGATACAGCTGCGGCAGTATTCCGTGATCCAACGTGGGGAACATGTGATGCAAGCAATGATCGCCGAAACTGGTCAACACTGCAAAGTGCGATCCCTTGACATCGGCCCGGTCAATCACCGCTGCTATCTGGTACACGCCAAAGTCGATTTCGTCTCTGCGGATAGTAATATGTGTAAATCAACAGATGTTTGCAAATGTTTAAAACTTACGGAATCTCGTCTCCCGAGTGGAAGACCTCCGGATGATGGTGGGCTGCATTCAAACCGATCAAACCAAACCCAAAGCTGGCTACCAGTACGATAAAGATCCACATTTTCAGTACGTTACCCAGACTGCTCGAGTCGCACAGATACATGAAGGTTGGCAAAATAAACGAAATCAAGTCATCCGCAAAGAAGCTGCTCTTGCCCGTTTGGAAGGATTCGATCACTCTAGAAGAAGGAACTTGGTTAATTGCGTTTTTTTTTTTTTTACAAATGGCATTCACCTTTTCACAAACTCTCCGATGAATATGAACGAATAGACAACCGGTCCATAGATCCAGGATCCAAAGCGTTGGAATGTTCCCTTGATTTTCGGGTTTGGCAGCCAACACAGGATCGGCTCAAAGTAGGATATCTCTAGATCGAGAATCGAGTTCGGATAGTGGTGATGCGAAATGGCATGTGACACGCGCCATTCTCTGAAACATGTAGAAAAAGGGAAGTTGTTATAAAAATGTACTTCTGCACATCGTATATAGTAATCATGTCTCATTTATGTCTCAATGTTATCTTAAAAAAATATGATTTAACATAAGTTGGAATATGTAGCTTCTATAAGCATGAGTTTAACCTACATAATTATGATATTACCGGCCAAAGGCTGTATTTATTGACGATAAAACAATAACAATCTTTGGAGTCCCCGTTTCTTTTTCGTTGCTTCATCTAAATAAATGGACTCTTTTTAAGAAAAACAAATATAAATCGTGGCTCACTTAGTAATGGAACAAACTCTTTTGCTTATTACACTAGTTTACAGCATATTTGAACTTTGTACGCTGATAAAGGGATAATCAACTATGCACACCGCAATCTGTGCCGATAATTTTTGCTGTGCCGAAAGCTATGTCAAACGTTGTGCCGAAGCGTACCACTCAAGTATCCCATGAGTTTGGCAACCCTGAATATTTAATGACTTTTGTGATTGTTTACTTGTGATTGTGCAAGAAAACGAAGCGTGACAAAACTAAATTGATGTATGCAGCCTAAAATCACTGCTGCAACACGGAAATTCCACCAGAATAACAAACCAAACTAAATCTGTTCCAAGAAGACTGATTTTAGCCCTGGTACATGCCGGTTTCCTTAGCTATACTCCGTAGGTTGGATTCCGGCAAGCTGAATGTGGTTCTTCATCCATGGCGTAGATTATGGAACAGTACGACAGCGATAACAACTGTGAGGTGAAGGTGGAACTGTTCAATCGACTGCAAGCGGGGGAAGGCTACATGAATATTAGCGGGGATTTTGAAAAAAATAAAAATAATAATGTTTATCGATTTCCTTGAGGTGAACAACTTCGAGGTGTCGAATGTGATTCTTTTGTATGCCAAAGGGAAGGTTCGATTGGGTTTAGGTTGATGAAATGTATTCAGATATACCTCGATATAACGTAACTGTCACTTTTGACTTCCATCGCTGATTTCTAGCTAAAACGCTGTACAGACTGGAGAGTTAAAGGGTGATACGGTCAAAATTTGGTCAAGGGAAAACGCGTGTAAATCGGTGAAATCGTTTATTTAAAAAATCAAATTAAATTTCTTTTTCAAGTTCAATTAGTATAAAATTCAGGAAAAATATTCAGTTAGGCTTCCGCTTTTCCAAATCCGAATTGCCGGGCCTTACGCTTGACCCCTGCCATCAGATTTTGTACAGCCACCTTGTCCACCTTCTTCGCCGCAGAAAGCCAGTTTGCCTTGAACTGCTGCTCGCCCTTAGCAGTTTTTTTGGTCTTCTTTAGGTTCCGCTTGACAATAGCCCAGTATTTCTCAATTGGGCGGAGCTCTGGCGTGTTGGGACCTACCTGCTACCTTTCCCCTTCCTTTTGCCGTATAAAACTCCTGTCCCGGAAGCTACTTGTAGTCGGCTTTGACGTAGGTTTCGTCGTCCATTACCACGTAGTCAAACTTCGTCAGCATCGTCGTGTACAGCCTCCGGGATCGCGCTTTGGCCGTCGTATTTTGTTTATCATCGCGATTTGGAGTCACTACCTTCTTGTAAGTCGATAGTCCGGCTCGTTTTTTGGCTCGATGCACGGTTGTAGACGATACACCCAGCTTATTTGCGGCATCTCGGAGAGAGAGGTTAGGGTTTCGCTTGAAACTACCGGCAACTCTCTTTGTCGTCTCAACGGCTTCCGGTTTTCTATTTCCCCCCGATCCAGACTTCCTGGCTGTCGACAAACGTTCCCCAAACACTTTAATTACATTTGTAACGGTTGATTTGGCAACTTTTAGCGATTTTGACAACTTTGTGTGCAAGTACCTCGGATTTTCGCGATGCGCGAGCGAAATTTTGATACGCTGCTCTTCTTGCTTGGACGGCATTTTGACAACTGAAGAGTGAATTCCAAAATCAAAATAGGAGCAACATTCTACACACACACACCTTCAAAATGAGGGGTGTTCAGGTTTTTTAAATGCAAAATTGAAAGAAATACGTCAAGTTGATATTGACCAAATTTTGACCGTATCACCCTTTATAACATGTTATAACGGTTGTCAAATAATTGCAACACAGAAACCACCATCAAGATAGCGCTATAACATGTTATACCTCTGTAGTCTGAACGTACTATAACAATCATTAAATCAAGCTAAGTAATAACACCATCGAAGACTGCACAATAGGATATCATAATATTTATTGAATGGAGCAGGGCTATGAAGCTTGCTCATCCGAGGAGGATGATTTGTATGACGCTATGTATCTGGCCACCATTCCTGTGGAATTGACCCATGTAGTCCGTGATTACCGATATTGTCACTATCGTAAACGGCAAGCAACTGTTGCAATCACGTTGGATGCAAAAGTGGATGACCCAGTTATTGCTGTTGCAGGTTATGATCTCGGTGCTGCTATTTATCACCACACTTTAACAACTCTTGCATGGAATTAGACGAGTACTGGCTGCAGGAGAGACCCGAGCAAAGTCCTATAGGTTTGACTTCTATTCTGGAATCTGATCGTCTAGTCCGATGGATTTTTAAAAAATATCTCAGCAGGATAGTTTTCGAGATATAGTTAAAAAAAACTTTTAAAAAAGTGTTTACTAAAATACAAATATTTTCCATTGCAATGAAGTTATATTAATTAGTTTAACATCAAACTAAAGTTGATGAAGTTTGCTTTCGATTATTTGAACACTATTTTTCAGTGAGATTAGTGGTACAACCACTACAAACATTTTTATTTATACTGCTTAAAAACTTAAGCAGAAATTCATTTTTTCTGGGAAAAATGCAAAATATAAAAAAATATAATAAACTATCGATTAACAACAATACTACTAATCTCACTGACAATTAATGCTCAGTTGATCGAAAGATAATTTTCTCTTAAGAATTCGATTTTACATAAGAATCATTGGTCAAAGATTCAAGTTCATTTTTTTACTTGTATTTGTAAACTAGTGTTACAGCGCTCCTAGTGGACGTTTTCGGAAGCTTTTGACGTCTATTTGTTGACAACAATAATAACAATAAGTGTATTTGTTCATTTCATAAAACGCTCTTGTTTTGGAAGAGGAGCGTAGCCGGCACCGGTGGTGTAGTGGTAAGCGTGACTGCTTTCTAACACCCCGATGGGTCTGGGTTCAATCCCAGCCGAGGTCGGTGGGATTTTTCTGAGGCATAAAAATGTCTGGTCACGTCTTCCTTGGGAAGGGAAGTAAAGCCGTTGGTTTCGGCCCATGTGTGTTTGAATGGGTGCGATATCCTACGCAGGTGTGGAAGCTGCCTTCCTGCACATTCGATTGCCGTCAATGGATGGCTAAAGTGTCAATGAATGGCTAAAGTGTTGAATTTTCCTAGAAACACCATTTGACACGTGCTCAACACATACAGGGAAACCTTGACGATGAATCAGAAGCCTCAAAGGAAACGCCAGAGTGGAACTGCCAACCGTCAGCTCCATGAAAAACTCGTACGGTCCATCAGAAGCAACCCAGGTATGTCCGATCGCGATTTGAATAAAAAGTATGATGCCATCCTTAGTACAGTACAGAGATTACGCTACCGCTACCGCACGAGTAGGCAACCAAATCGATCACTCAAGCAGAATACCTTAGCTAGAACTCGTGCTCGAAAGCTGTATGACAACCTGCTCATCATGTCTCGGACCAAGTCCGGTGGGTGCATACTTATGGATGATTAAACCTATGTAAAGGCCAACTTCAGACAGCTTCCAAAATTTTATAAGGCGAAGGCTCGAGGGGTTGTCCCTGGCAGATTCAGATTTGTTTTTACGGATAAATTTGCACGCAAATATATGATCTGACAGGGAATTTGCTGCGGCCCGGTTTTCGTCACTGAGAAAATTATAAACTCGGAGGTTTACAAAACCAAATGTCTTCAGAAGCGCCCTTCATCTAGTCACCCTTTCATCTAGTCACGTGATGGCTCGGCGACTTTAGGTCCGGATTTTGCGAGTTGTCACTACAGCCAGGAAGTTCAACAATGGTACAATGACAATAGATTCCAGTTTGATCCGAAAACCCTAAATCCGCCCAATTATCCCCAGTTCAGGCCCAATGAAAACTACTGTGTGTGTATTCCCTCTAACTCTCACTGATCGGCAGTTTTATTATGGAACTCGGAAAAAAAATCCGTTCCCGAAAACGGGAACGGACCGTGAACTAAAAATCACGGCCAGCTATCCAGAACAAAATTGTCTCAAATATACACCGAGAACTATGGTTCACGGCTGTGGTTCACGAATATGGGAACTCTTTTTTTCCCGTGAAGTACTCTCTCTACTACAATGTCGCATTTATGGTCATTGTAGACAGCCGGGAGATAGAAAGTGAAAGCTCTATTGCAGATCCAGCAACCCATTTCAGAATGTCTGGAGAGTCACGCCCATTCCAAGGTTGCTTTCACTTAAAATAAGCCCCGCATGTATGTATTACCTCCATCAATTGGATATTAGCATTACACACACTTCCAGTTTCAAAATGTTCTTTTGAATCCTGGCACGTATTTAGTTTATGTTTTTTTTTTTTTTGTAAAAAGCGTTTGGACTGGTCTCACCATGTTAATTTGATCCTCCAATCCATGGGTTCCGTAGTTTTGATTTTCTCTAAGCTGTGCATCTCATTTCATGATGCACCTTTGCCGTAATACTTTCTTCAATGAACACAAATGTTCTTGCATTGCCATGGTCATCTGGGAGGAGAGTCACGTCTAGTGCTTTCCTCAGGAACCTTTCGCGGCCACCAACTACCACCCGTCCAGTATTGGGCTTATCCAGCGAGTCATCTTTCAGATTGCTTGCAATCTCCGACACCGGCGAGAGACCAGCAGCCGAACACTTTTGCAAGCGGAAAACTTGCTTCACGGCAACGTCGGCCACCGAATCACCAACAAAACTCGCGACGGACACATTATCAGCACGTTCCCGGGCTAATTCACCAACCGGA